TTGGCTAAACCCCTAATTCAAAATTGTTATGTTGATATTAATATTCCAATACAATAAAAAAACCAAGTTTAGTTTACATCATATACAACGAATGTTCCCGTACATAGTGCGGGTGAGAATCTAGTAGTGCATTACTTTCAAAGCAGCATCAGCTCGACTTATGTAATGTACAGATTCCCAGTAAAGTGAGCCAAAACGCGAGAAAAACGGAAGCTTGTGCGAATGCCTTCAAGATCACTATGAGTATAATCATGAGTAGGAAATGATCGCTTCAAATGGCTCACGAATCTCTTTCCAGTATGAGAAATCATGTTACAAATGAATCGAAAATCTTGATGAAAAAGATGATTAAATAGGCACTTTGTATGAAAGTGATTACAAAAGAAGAGACTTTGAAAGGCATATTTTGGCCTTGGTTTTTATCTATTTTTCCCCTCATTTAATCTATCTTAACATTCCTTTGAACGAAACACGTCCAATGATCATAGTGACCATCGAACCTTGGATTAGCCGGCACAACGAACCTTTTCGCATGTTGTTGTCTCCCATTTGAATTTCTCGTTCTTCCTACTCCTCTCTAAACTAATTTATGCCTCTTTTGTGATAAAACTCTGATACCAATTCTTGAAATCGCTTATACAATATGAAAACTGTTTGATCAAAGCTTTTCTAATTAATAATTGAAAGAATACAAACTTGCTCTTTATATAGAGGAGATTGAAGCAACCAAACAACTTAGTTCCGAAAAGTAGTAAAACAGAAGACTCGAGCACAAGACTCAATAACTTATTAAACAGACGACTTATTTTTACTTTGACCAACTAACTTCATTAACATAAAATATGGTTATGAGTCGCTTGAGACACCGAAATGACGAAACCGAAAGCAAAACACCTCTCTGTTATGCTACTGATTACTCTTTCACTAAAGAGCATTTTGATCTGATTGAATACTCGATTTACGTGGAGCGTCCAGATGGTAGCACTGATATTCCAAAAGGTACATATATGAACATCCAGACGGATCAATCGAAGGTCAAAACTATCGGCTCGTGAGAAAGATGTATCTTTTATATTTCTCAGTTTTGGTTTTGATTCTTTTGAAATAGAATGGTTCATGTTTGGTGTTGCTTTAAACATAATATGTTTAAACTAGGCAAGTTTGACGTGGTTTATTCCAACGATCCACCGACGTTCAAATAAGAAAATGTTTCAAATCAAAATATGTTTTCTCTATGAGAAAAAGAGGTAATGAAATTTGATTTTCACAAGATATCTCATTCTTAGTCCCAGCTTGGGATACTAAAGTACCGAATCTTGGAATGGGTGGTTCCGTCAGTTGGTGATGTTTATGAATAGCAGTTGCAATAGCCACCTGAACCCGATAGTACCACTCTTGAACATCTCCTCCTGCCTCAACAATGGTGACGAGTGCATCCGCAACCACATTTGATTGGGCAGCCGCACGCTCAGCGTTCCAGAGTTCCCTCCATACGGCGTTACCCTCTAACATTGGGACTAAGAGACATGACTCGCAAATTTTTTTGAAACTCCGGGCAGAGTAGTCACAAGTGATCATGATTACAGCCAAGGTTTTTCAACCTCTTCAGAACAAACGAGTAGTCCGAATCCCCTATAATCACAGTTGCTGAGGCAGGAGGAGGAGGAGATGTCCAAGAGTGGAACTATCGGTTCAGGTGGCTATTGCAACTGCTACGCATAAACTAAAGAAGCAGGCGATGATCCTTGTTGATGGCGATGTTTATGATTCTAAGAGCATCAACATCCATGATACAAGGAGAGTATCAGTTGAATAAACAAATATTAAAAACACACTCTCTCTTCATTTTATTCAACTTTATACCTTCTCTTTCATCCTTTTACTCAATTTTTATTAATTTTATACTCTTTTTAAATATAAAATTATTAAAAACATTTGATACACTCTTTTTTTCTCTCTTCAAAAATATCAAAAGTATCAACTATTTGATACC